ACTTCAGACCACTGACCGTCCTTGGATGGAGATCCAATAAATAAGAGATCACTCTGGCCGTGAATCTGTGTGAGGATTGAATAATTCATAGTCGCGTGGGTAATCTTTGGTAATTGTCAGTTGAAAAATATGTTATTAGTCTATCACAAACTGTGGTATTGACAAGTGCTCCAGAGAAAGAACTGTGTGAGAGTATGGAGAATACTTGACAACTGGTTAAAAAAAGTTGGGACATTTGTTATTTTTAAATGCAGTTATGAACGTAATTATTTAACTTACATATCTAATACATATGCATTTGAGTACTTTATAAAAATCTTTCTACTGAATTAAATTGATGTTATCAATGTTGCGGAGCTACATTCGTTATTTTACTCGGGTAAAAGAGATTCAGTTGCAGTCAACAACAGCCGTTCAGTTTTCTCACTTCTGCTCACTATGCCAAAAAATAGTCCTAATAAACCAGTTTTCAATCGTGTAATAATACATTTCTTGTTTATCATTTTGTCACAAGGTAAATTTCACTCCAAAAATACCCCACTATTATTATATTTTTCACATCAGTTTCAAGTGCACGAAATCCAACGATTTAAATTTTTTTTATTGGCGAGTAATACCTTGAATCTAAGTAACGGTAACATCTGTTAAAACAAATAAATCTGTTTACTAAGAAATATTTACAGCACAAAACTTTGAGCTAGGTAAGAAAAATATAAAACCTTACTTCTATATTATTTAATATTATGAATGATATACAGATATTTATTTATGGAAAATGTCAATTGCTATAATACAAAAATAATAACATACTTTTATCTCTGAACATTTACAACACTATTTATAAAGCTGATCTGAGTTAGAAACTCTTAGGAACCATAAGCTAACATAAATCAACAGATCATTAACCTATACCACAGAATTAATAATTGCAAAGCAAAATGGTGATAGTTTTGGAATATAATTTACAGAGGCAAATGTGTAATTTTTTGCTTTGAAATTTACCGTGATCACAAATAGTTCATCAAGTTCATCACACTGGCCGAAAGTCTACCTTCGCTAAAAGTCAAACCTTCGCTCAATTACTACCTCAGTTTCACATGGTAGTTAAACGTGAGCTCCTGTCGGAACTAGTATAGTTACTGTAGGCCCTTGTGATGCAATATCCGTATAAAGTTTTTTTTTTAGATTACGTGAACAATGCATTTACTTAACTTGTAAAATTGATACCCTTTTATTTCGTTTTGACATGCTTTGATTGGTTAATTTAACTAATAAAACTTAGTGTTTTTTTTGTTTTTTTTATTCCTGCAATAACATGGATTAGGCTACATTTGAGATTTACTGTATGCAATGTCATGAGTGTTGAGTACAATTTGGTGCTGTAAAACTAAGTGCATCATACATAGTTATTTTATTTGTAAATAGTTATTTGTTAAAGTTATTCGTTTTTACCTTCCTTTGTCCATTTTCTCACATATACTTTCCTAGGAAGTTTACAGATAAAATACATTTACGATGTTTTGTCGTTCGCATTAACATGATAACTATCGTAGTAAAACGTAATAAAATAAATACTTACTATGCAAATATTTTATTACTTTAATACTTCCTTCTGAAATGGCTAATCTTGGAAAGATATATAATTCTAATTGATGGAGGCGCATTTTTCTTTAAATATAACGGTAAAATCACTTTTTGTGGTAAAATAAATATAATACGCGTAACCCCACAATCGCTGAAGTTTGCTAGAGTGTAAAATTTAATAGTTATTTGTGCAACTAGTGAAAGAAGGGAGCAATTGACTCACTCGAGAGAAATCCCTATGGAATGGTTTCTCGAATGAGGCAATTGTACTTTGAACTCGAGTTGCAAATTATACTTTTCCTACAGTTACCATAAAACAAATAAATTGGTGAAGAAACATATCTTATTTTTACACAGAAGTGAACTTTTAATATAACATTTAATGTGAAGTGACAAATACAACAGTACAACAGCTGACCAGCTGATTTACAGCCAGTGCTGCCAACGTATTTCGCGCGCATACGACGTTGCCTGCATGTTACGCGCTCACTATTTCGTGCCTTCACGTTGCAAATCTGGAGTGAGACAAAGTAATTAGAGTGAGACAATGTTAACATTGTCTCACTGATGAGCGAATTGGCCACTTTGCTTTCTCAAATCAGTGAGAGAACATGTACATTGTTAGGTAACTGTAGGAAAAAATATTTCTAGCTTCCAGACAACTCATATTTTCCAACTCAAAAATATTTTTTTATTGTAACATTAAATGTATGGAAGCATACTTGTTAATATAATGATACAATGTAAGCTATTAAACTAAGGAGCACGAGTGATATTACTCAATTGTTTTGACAAAACAATTTTACGTTATTGTTTAAATTATCGATCGAACAAAAATAATTCGAAAATCTAAACAATTGGAGCTTATTAATGTGTTTGTTAAGGTAAACCAACAATTAAGGTAGGAAACTAGTTATGGTTTATATTTTCCAGAATCGATTACAACTAATGGCGCCGGCCTGGTATAATCTGCATACTATCTCGCGTATTCTGGAGACGTTCAAAGTTGTTATTAAACATTACCCAACATCAATCCAGCCTTGGGCCACTTCTCGCTTATGAAACGTCTTGTTTTCATCTCAAAGCTCGATTGTTTTTATTCATCATCAATCTTATATTTTTCAATGACTTTGCTCATAAAAATAGTTTTATTTAACGAATGGAATGTCTTGTACTGTTTTGTTTAGTTTTTAAGAGATTGCTACAGAGACAATTAACTGTGTTTTATCCGAAAACAGTGCGCCAAAAATAATGTAAGATGCTACAATGAAAAATAGGTTAAGATTGTAATTCAATCACCATCAGCAAGCTTAGGGAACACAATTTTAGGGGGTTAAAAACATTTTCGGAAATAAGATTCAAATTTTTGAGTTTTCTATTCACATTTATCATGTAGAAAAGAATAGACTTATTTGTTAGCACATATTGTTGCAGTTTAGATTGTCAACGCCTGTGACGGCGAACGCAAGAAACGGCAAAATCTCTAGTATTGTTAATAACATCACAGCAGCTGTCTCCAACTGCAGCGGTGGACGATTTTTCTATACCGCAAACGAGTGGAAAACCATTTATAAAACTTTAAGCAAGTGTAAACGCAATGCACTTTATGTAATGCATATAGACATTTAACTAACTGGCCTAACTAGAGTCGATAGCAATACAAGTTAAGAGCCCTATTTCTCAAGTTGTTTTAAATAGTGTGTAAATACATTTTTGTTTTACTCCCTAATGTACTTATTCATCAACAACTGTGGAATATGTGCATAATTCTCTCGCCCATATTAATTAAGTAACTTGTTAGTAAGCATCGTGCGAGTTATTAAATTATCTGTAAGTACAAAAATACGTCAAATAACACTTGTAATAATATATATATGCACTTATACTGTTTACTCACAAGACTAAAAAAAAAAAAAAACAGCTATATCCGTGCCTTGCAACGGGGTCAGTATGCAAAAGAGACAATGTTGGCATTAAAAATTGTCTCAGTTCTACTATTTAAATTAGAAACGAAAAAATATATCTGTATTACTTAACTTGATAATAGTATGTTTTTGTAGACTGAAAACATTTATTTAGGCTAAATAGAAGACAAAATAAATGATAGATTTTAAGGTATAATCAAATAACATGTTGACTGGATTGTATTGTAAACGAAAAGCTATCACAATAGTTCTAAACCACAATAGTTTTGTGTAACTTTCTAACATAATTTAGTTAAATTATAATCAGGCAAATGGAAATTCATATAATCTGCAGGTTTAGTGGGCAGAGGTTTTATACAGTTTTTTTAGGTTGTTTACTGTTTACAAAATATATCTAAAAAATAATTCTCATAAAACTCAGGTTAAGAGCTTAAGAGCCTAGGTTGATACGGAAATGAATATATAATCTTTATTGTTTCCTAAATCGATGAATAATTTCTTTTCAAATGAATTATTCCCCGTAAAATATTAATACAGCATTTCACAAAAACAAGAACACACTCAGTAGATTATACACATAAACAAATTAAGTAATCGAAAGAATACTATACTAATGAAATTACATTTATCCACATGTATCCTCCCTCGGAGCTGTAGCTTTATTTTTGTCCTATTTTTGCACTCGGTTCAGTAGTTTTTTAGTTTATCTCATACAAACACACACACAGACAGACAGACAGACACCACCTCTACTTTATAATAGTATATATAGTAAGTGGTGATCGATTTCGATTGGACACTCCAATCATCATCAGACCCAATAGGCGGATGATTTGATTCGCCTTTTTGGGATTTCGATTGTCCAATCGAATAATTACATTCATATCAGAAACACATTTACATAATTTACAATTGAAGTACATTTACCGAAACTACTGATCACCATCCCCAGTTACAATTAGGCCTACATTTTCCCTAGACTACTGATCACCATTATCAATAAACTCAATAACAATAAACAAAATCAATAATCAATAAATAAATATCAATATCAATAAACAAATACATTTACTGAGACTACTGATCACCAGTTACAAGTATGTCTAGCCAGTACTTGATCACCCTCCCCAAGTACAAGTATGTCTAGCCATTACTTTATCACCATGCCCAGTTACAAGCATGTCTAGCCATTACTTTATCACCATCCCCAGTTACAAGTATGTCTAGCCAGCACTCGATAACCATCCCCAGGTACAAGTATGTCTAGTCAGTGCTTGATCACCATCCCCATTTACAAGTATATGTCTAGCCATTACTTTATCACCATCCCCAGTTACAAGTATGTCTAGCCAGAAGCCGCCAAGCAGTTGCCAAACTGAGCCTGAACCCCTCATTACTATCACGACCCACATTTGATGATCTCACTCTGCCCTAGGCCTTCTCTTGTATATAAACAGTTCCTGTAGCCAGGGGTGACACAGTGTTCTGCAAACCAACACGACAACATGAACTCTCTGGTGAGTTTACAGAAAATTGTTTTTATTTATTTTATTTCAATAATTAATTTTTACCAAGGGCCCTCTTTGAGTTTTGAAAATTTTTAGGAAAAAAGTTAAATTTAGAGTTCTCCGGTTTCTGCAATTTTCTTGATTATCATTCATCAAATTGGTCCTTCTAAATGTTACCACTTTTAGCCCTGAATGACATCCAACCCAAAGCTGTTAAATGACGATTTCTGTTTGCCTAGTGTACTTATTTTATAGTAAAGTGAATCATTTTACACTCCTGAGGTTTTTTGTTCTCTTGACGTGGCTACACTAATGAAGATAGCATATAAGGCTTATAACTGATTCAAAATTTTGCTATTGATCAGATAAAAAATAACAGCTACCATAATTAACTTTTCAGTTGAGGTTAAAGTACAGTAGAACTATAGAACTAAAGATAATTATAATTTTTTTCATGCAAATTCTTTTTTCCCTTCTCATGATTAACAAGATTGTATAATGTATTTAAAATAAAGGAGATACTAACCGAACTACTAAATGTATTTCTTTGATATAGGGCATATAATTTGTCGTTCTATCTTTGATATAAAATCCACCACATTGATACTAGGTTTTGAGTGTTTGGTCTGGATGATGCCTATTGGATATAAACAATTTTTATGTTTTCCACCAAACCTTCTCGGGCTAAAGCCAAAATAACGTGTTTTTCTATCCTCCCACAAAAACAAATCTTTGGAAGAAGAAATTATTGTATAATACCAACATAAACTCATCCCATTATTAACTTTTTTTGTGGATTGAATGCAACCAGCACTTTTAGATATTTTAATTCTTTTATTTTGGAACCATAGCACATAGTACTCATAAAAAATGTTTTGTAGAATAAAATGAAAGTGTTTTAAATAATAATAAAAAAACATAGAACCAGTTATATAATTACTAATTTTAAGGTGGTGACTGGATTTTATCCCCGGTGGTCTTCACTATTTGTCTACCACATATGTTTTGTAATTGTCTGGGGTCAGTTTAGATGTAAAACATACAGTTTACCTAAACATTAAAAGACACATTATTTTTAATTTCTAGTGTAAACAAGTCAAGAATAACTGTAGAATACTATTAAGCACATTAATAAACCATTAGGGCGTAAACAGTTAAAAATAATAAATTTAATGTACGAAACCGTTTAATCCTTAAGTGTCCATGTGCCTACACTAGTTAACCTTAATGCAAGGAAATAGACGTAAAGATTCCTTTAGCGATAATAATTTGCAAGAATTCCCGTCGTTAGTGTCAATTAACAATTAAATCTAACGACAGATTGTCAACCTTGGTGTCAGACCAGTTCACATCTGGAGTCCCTAGTAAGGTGCTTTATGACATTTGTAAAAAGTAGCCTGGTAAATTAAGACAAAAGGTCAACATTTGTGGGAATGTGCTACAAATGACATTGATCTTTGGGCAAGGCAAAATAATTGTCTACACACACTTCAAAGCTGAGGTTGTATTATGTAGAAGTTTTCACATATTTTTTTGGAAGGTGAACTATTGTTATAAATGTAAAAAAGATAGAGAAAAGCACGATGAATGTTTAATTTTTTTTTTATTTAGTTCACTAAAGAGTTTTTTTTTACTCCTGTGCTTCAACAGTTATTTTACAACAATTAACTAAGTAGAATAATCTGTTTCGTATCTGTTTCATCTCTACTTGCAGTACTGCAGATTAACAAGGATATTACTGAACGTAGCTCAAAGCCTAGAGTAATTAATTGTTGTTTAGTTAATGACAAGTGATTTTCCCTGTAATTCTGGATCTTGATTTATTCTATTCTCCATTGAAAAAACCAAGAGTGTTTTTTTATGGCTGTTTTATTCACACTACTCAATTCAATACAACAAAGCTAAATACTATGGACATTTTTTAAACTTGCAAGCTTCTCTCTTCTCTTAGTGCTAGCTTTTATAACTATACTAGCTGTAACCCGCGGGCTTTGCCCCGTTTAACTTATTTTTTCAAGATTATCTCGTTCGCATGGCTCAATCACGTTCTGGTTGAAGTTTGTTCGCTACGCTCACTCACCTTTAGGTTGGAGCTCGTTCGCTACGCTAACTCGCCTCCAGGTTGAAGTTCGTTCGCTACGCTCTCTCACCTTTTGGTTGCAAATTAGCTGTTGTCATAAATGTAAAAGAAATAATAGTGCTGCACCCTGTTGGTAATCCTTGTAACTTTAATGCTATTGAACATCATAGAACAGAACCAACTTGTTTAATTGAAGCAGCTGTTAAGATTCAATTTATTCCATTTCTCTTAAGGTTAACATGGGAAACTCCAGAGCCACTGGGGCGGAGCCCGAAAGGATTTTTGAAATAAGAATATGCCTATATGTTAATCGGGAATGTGAGCTATCATCATGCCAAATTTCAGCCCAATCCGACCAGTATTTTTCGCGTTCACTTGTCACAAACATACATCCAAACTTTCTCTTTATAATATTAGTAGGATGACACTGGCACTCTTGTATTTGTATTGGTGAATATGAGTGATGGATACATTTTATATTAACCCTGTTTCTAACTAAGATCAGCTGTTCTTCTGAGGATATATCTTTAACGAAAGTTAAACATTCAGGTCAGCTATACACTTTATGAAAAAAGTGTAATTTTTACGGGCAGATAGTATCATATTTCTTTTGCCGTGGATAAAATTTGTGAGGAAAAACGTTATTGTTAGCTATGAGCAAATAAACCAAATCAATCGGTTGGAATATAGTGTAACAATAAGAAACTGCATTTAACAATGCTGTCCAATGTCACCAATCAAGTTTACTTTAATATAATATGTACATCTAAGGACCATTAATGGTAAAAGGTATATGATATGTATCTAGGGAGCCTTGAAGGTGCAAAAAGCCCAGTTATGGCGGTGAGTAGGCAATGTTCAGAGTGAAAGTTGTACCTCAAGAATGGAGAGGTTATTGACACCAGTCTCTACAGTAAATGTTAGTTTAATCTATCAACTCTGAAAATGAACAAATAAAAAAAAACTTTAATGTTGAAGTTAGAAAACGTTAGAGCTTAAGGCATTGCTCCTATGTGATTGAAAAACAATTTAGGCGATATCAAGCTAAATGCGTAAGTTATGTTAAATCATATTATTTTCCCCAAAAGTAAAGTTGGCCTAATTATTGCAAACTACAGTTCCATCAACAGCACATGTGTTTGAATTGCATCGTAATATTTATTACACACACAAGAATCACTAATAAAAGGGTACTCCATAAAGTTAAAACACGGTTTTCGAATTTATGGTTGGCTTTATTACTCATTAGTTTCTCCGAGTTAAGTTTTCAATATCTTACAAGTTTAGGGTCGAACTGTTAACGTTAAGATTATTTTCTTTTTAAAATTCATGCTCCCAAGCTGTGGTGATTTCATATTTTATTACCTCTTCATTAAAATTACAATCACATTTTATAAGAATTTAACTCAGTCAATAGTCCACTGTACAGTATGACGTATATAGTGATTTGTACATTAATTGAAATCGTATCTCCATTTCATGATCTCATGTTTATATGGTAATAAGTTAAGCCGGGTTTACACGCACCGATAAAACATAACGACTTGTCTGCAACGACTAATCGTTACGTTTTGTCGTAGGTTGAGAGGACCAAACACGTTCCGTCTTTTTCTCTAACTTTGGCTCTCAAACCACTTCCAGATGTATCTGGTTGTGAAGTAGTTAATAGGCTCCCTGTATATTTGACGATGGATGAGTTATTGTTATGGTCTGTTTACATTATTTCTGTTGCAACAAGTTTTAAGAGGAAAAGAAAACCTAGAAGTAAGTGGAGTCGGCATTGGCTACTGAAAAAACAGTTATCTCATGTGGAGTTGCTAAAGGAGTTGAGGAACGAACCCTCTGACTGGAGGAACTACTTAAGAATGACTGAGGATACCTACAACGATTTATTGAACATGGTTTCTCCACATATAAAAAACACCATAATTAGAAAGGCAGTATCTCCCCATGAAAGACTCATTTACGATTCCTTGCAACTGGTAGAAGTTTCAAAGACTTGGAATTCACAACACTCATTTCTAAAACATCCCTCCTGCAAAATAATACCTGAAACATGCAAGTTGATGACAATTGCCCTGTCTAATTTCTTTCTTTAAATTCTTCTTCAAAGACGGGTTAATTTCTTTATATTTGTTGATTAATTCTGCATTGGCCTCAACTCTATTAAAAAGTCACGAGAGGCTTGACTTATGTCTGACATAGTGACTAATGTGACACAAAACAGTAAAAATAAACTACACTACTCTACACTGTCCAAATATACCACAGCGGTTAAAACAACAGTACTACACAGTACAATTACACAACAGTTAACTGGACCAACGCGACATCGGAGGGTCTACAGGTTGCAACGATGACCGAGTCACCGTTTACACGCAACGACTTGTCACTACGATCTACAGAAAATCGCTACGATCTCAAGAAATTGGTGGAAATTTCCACCAACCTTCCAACCTCACTCCAACTCAGACAAAACGTAACGACTACCAGTTTACACGTTCCGTCTTGCATGAACGTTTTGTCGTTGCAGACAAATCGTTACGTTTTATCGTAGCGTGTAAACCCGGCTTTATCAATATTGTTGCTCTGCCTGTTTATACCTATATTGTGGATCAATAGAACGTTTTGAAACATCAGGGTTAGTGATTCAATAATCAATTATCTAATCCTCGAAGAATGTTTTAGTTAAAATTATAACTGCTCGAAGTCACCTAATCAAATACATAGTATGTCCTTTATGAAATATGCAGGTTTGTGGACTAAACTCAGAATAGTAACTCCAAAATACAAGGAAATCAATCAAATAACTGAAGATAAAATAATTTCAAAAATAGAAAATTTAGATACGTTGAAGGTTATTAAACTACGTCAGTTCAATTAAAGCGGAGGTAAATAGTTAAATATTCTAAGTTTCAAAAGCTGATCCAGATTGTTGATTGTACACATTTTCATTTCCCACGATTCTCAGAAATATTTTCAATAAAGCTCGATTGTACTTTATTAAAGCACGTTGCTAACCTTCCAAAATAATTGTTTAACCCTTTTGTAAGACAATCCTTCCGTTAACTCTTGGTATTAATTCCCTTGGTTCTGTTTATAAATCAACTAAGTTGGAGGGGTATTTAAAAAGTTCAATAATTGAAATCAAGTTTGATTAAACTACTTTTGCAATCATACTTAATTAATTTAAAAGTTTTGTAATATATTTGAATTAATAAAATTTTTGGAATATCTTTTACTTATTGTAACCAAAATTTTACTATGCTAAGCAGACTACACAAGAGTCTTATGGGATTAAATATACTGTACATTATTTTTATTTATTAGTATCAAGCCTCAATCTCCTTAACCTTAAAAGACGTTCGAGCAATTTTTATTGGTGACTGTACATGATGTAAACACACATCTGTAAACACTTTCACTAAATTGATTGTAAATGAAAAGTGCCTAACAAACACAGTATGTGTTAGAGGCATAAACAGGTTTAGGTACAAATATATTTAGACCGCCGAAACACGCCATCTATATATACAACTTTATGAAGTTGTATATATAGATGGCGTGTTTCGGCGGTCTATCATGCTATGGCACGTGCAACAACACTGTGAAAAGCTGCCCCCACCTGGACAACTAACGTGCGACCGGCGTTAGACAACGTGATCATAGAAATAACTATGTAATATTAAACTAAATCGTTAAATGGCCATTGTTCGTGAAAGTTAATGAAATGTAGCTACATCTTTGTTAGCATTCTGCTGTTCTTAAACGTTGTAATTTTGTGTTTAGTGTATGTTTCCGTAATTTGGCAACGGTTGGTAGTTATTATTAAGTGTTATGCACTAAGCCTCTGTATTTATAGTATGTACCATAAGAATAATTAAAGAAAACTTAATGATTATTTGATTGGTATAGCGTAAATTTTCAAGTAGATTGTTGTAAACATGAACCGACATCATAGTTGTACCAATAACTTGTTCTGATATATACCTGAGCCATGTAACCTCTAACTCAATACTTCAAGTTGCGTTTAGACTTTATAAATATGGACTCCAACCATAATAACTTTTTATTGGCTTTTGTTACAAAAAAAAAATAATTATATTTAGCTGAAAGTTATTTCATAAAATCTTATTGCATTATGTACCAACATAATTAATTACGATTCCATAAAAGTAGGAAACTTTAAAAACTACTATGTTTAGTTACAATAGTTTTTAACTATCAGCTAAAATTAACGTTCAGTCCAATTCAGCATTGTGGGACAAACTTAATCTATTTGTTTTTAAATTAATTTTTCAAACTGTTTTCAGGCCTTGATCTTCTCCGTGGTCGTGGTGGCAGTCTCCGCCCAGTACCACACCCCTGAGTACCACTCGGCTCCCGCACCTTCCTATGGTCATGCCTCTGGTCCCGCTCCTTCTTACGAACACGGCTCTGGTCACGCTCCTTCTTACGGAAAGGGAGGTGAAGCTACCAGCTTCCAGAGCTTCCACCTTGAGGTCGGCCAACAGGAGTACAAACAGCCTTCCTACGAGAGCCAGAAGCCTTCTTACCATTCCGAGCCTTCTTACAAACCATCTTACGAAAGTCACAAGCCTGCCTACCATTCTGAGCCTTCTTACCATCATGCTCCCGCTCCCGCCTACAAACCTTCCTACAGCAAGCCTGCTTACAAGCCTTCTTACTAAGACTTCGATACCTTCATTGTTATTTATGTCATCGTTCATCGTTTGTAAATAAAATGTAAAGTAATTATTACATCTGCGTTTTATTTACCATCCTGAAAGATAAACTTAAGTTGGAGTATTACACGAGTGTTGAAAATAATCTTCGTTTACTAGTTAGTTACTAAATAAATTATTTGGTTAATTTCATCACTGATGTGGACCTTCAATTAGATAAAGGTATACAGGACACAGTATTCAGCTGGTTTAGTATTCGAAATAAGCAAAGACATTAAAAAAGGACCATAGCTTGCAGTGCCTCATAGGTAGGAGGACACTACGAACTAGATGAAGTAATAGCACAATAATAGCTGGGTGACATGAGCGTATTTTTCGATATAAAGATATTTTATGAGGCTTGGGACTTGTGACAATATAAATTCAATGTGAGAGGTGTGCGACAAGGCTCTGTTTTGGGACCGGTCCTTTTTCTATTTAATATTGAAAACCTACACTCTTGCACGAAATGCTAAAAAAATATTATTACTCTAAGGCGTACCTCTCTTTCCATACCAAGCTCTATTTCTTTACAATCTATAGTAAAAGTCTCATTGGAATTTAAAAAAGCGCTAACAACACTCAACTTATAAATTATCATTAGGCTAGAATTCCGTTGAAATGGGAAGTCTCCTTCTGGAATTAGTAAATATATTTTATAAAAGCTCGTCCTACTACGAGTGTATTGTTTAGGATTTGCCTGAGTTAGTTTCTGTGTTTATACAAAACACAGCTCTAATAATCAATCAATGGAATCGTGCAACCTACAGACACACTAATAGTCCGGACGTGCTTCAAACTTATTAACATTGATTGATTTATCTCAATTTAGAATACGTGATTCCAATTTGAGGTATGAGGCAAAATTAAACTTACTTAAAACACCAAAACATAGCTTTGAGAACTAATTTTTGTCATAATCAACTATGCAAACAACTTTAAAATGACAAGAGCAATATCAAAAACCCAACATTAACTAGTTAATGCTAGAAGAAATTCAAACAATTTGAAATTGCAAGCAAAGCATGACAATAACACAATTCTTTACCTATATATAACACGAAAAGCTGAGACCGAGAGTGACAGGGGACATTGACAACGAACTAACAATTGAACTATTCTGCAATTCAACAATTTAAAGACAACATTTTACTTCTGCTGGATGCTTTATTCCCAAGAAATCAACCTGGGGGGAACTGCATTCCCAAATCTCAGTAAACGATGGGTGACATTATGGTAGTTGCACTTTGTCAGAGGAGAGGTTTTCCAAAGTTCTGAACAATCAGTTGAATCATTACAAAAATACAAACATGATGTCCAAATTTGTCCTCATTGATTCCAGCGAGAACATCCTCATTGATTGAGGAACAGCTCAAGAAACTTACCCAGCTCCCATTGATTGGGAAACTACTAATACTGTTCCATCATATCATTACGTGCCCCCTATTTAAATTTTAATTTAGAATCCATAATTTTAATAACACGCATAATGCTAAGAACCCCCATCATTTGCCACTATTAAATGCATAGCAATCTTGGTGGCTATCTTCAGAGGATATTTAACATTAATAAATATTTTACAACGATAAATTAATTAGGTGATTTGGTGTTATACCGACCACAAAGATAAATCGACTTCCAAATAACATTTTAATTAGTTTTAATTTGTAACAAAATCTTCCTTTCATAACCTAACCTAAAACATAGTCCACCCTTAGGTTAATAACCTATACACTTTTCTTTAAATTAATAAAACATAACTTTCTACTTAAAAAAATCTTAGCGTACTGTACTACTTATTACCCATTTCGGTACTACGGAATATGCTGTATATATAAAACAAACCTACCATTTTAAATACTATTCAATCCACCGAAGGAAATTTTGCATTTTCTCACACTAATATTTTAACACAACTAACATTGCTGGAGATGTGTTAGCAAACAAAACATAACCATCGATTAGAGCTGCAGCGGAAGGAGACGAATTAGAAATAGACCAACTATTCGCAGCGCCGCACGCCTGTAAACGTGACACCACTAGCAGACCAGCTGGTCGGGTTGCGTCGCAGCAGACAAGGCGTCGCTATAACTCTTGTATTGTTAGAAGAGCTACATCTGATGCATTGTTGCAAGTCTTGCTATATCTGGACGCGACTGCCAAATTTAGGCTATTGTTTGAACTGTCATTTGATGGTTTATGCAAGGCATCTGTTACGCGATGTTACCGATTCGTAGTATTGTTCTAACTGTTACTGTTAGACACAGCTATTTTTACCGCTAAATGTTTTAAGTGTGAATGTAGAAAATGACGTACTTATAAGTTTAGTTAAGGAGCTGACATAGTCCACTTTTTATACTAGCTCAATTAGATAGTGGGGGAGTATTAAAGTATGCTAAATGCATGTTTAGAGTTAGTTTACATTCTTCTATAACTAAGGATTTTAACATTATAATATGTTTAAAGTACAATAAACACTTGTCAGAAATAAACCTTTGTAAAATGTTCACGAGAAGTGTGGATTAGATCAAAATAAATCTATGAGCTTAAGCTAGTTGTAAATGTGCTTTTTTTTGTTAAATATTCCGTAAATGAACAACAGTTTATTAGTGTTGTTGCAAACTAACATTTTTATTAATCATACCACTTTTTACGAGTCTAAAATTCACTATAATATACTTCACGGGTTCGTATTACAATTCTCTCATGAAATCCTGTATCCATTGCCTTGGGGGATTTGGCATGGTTAGAGTTTAACCACGTTTAACATACCAAGGGATATTTGTCCATTATTCGATTTTAAAGTTTTCCATAATTAAATTCCATAATTGGCCAAGAAATTATTCTTGTATAAGTAATACCTGTCTTCGTTCAAAGTTTTTACATCGTTTCATGATTTTTCCCTAATGTTTCCCTCTATAATCTAATAAATTCTAGAAGAGGACTGTAGGTCATTTTCATATTTAGACGAGAACATTTCTTTACAAATAAACGTCAAGTTATCAAATCGGCAGTTTTCTCTTAGCAAATTTTAAAAGCTTATCTTGTTCATAAGATCATACTTGTTTAAAATTATGTATCATGTGTTTTCTCATATGTCTCAGTGTTCTGATACTACGGAGCTTGGTTGCTAAGTCGAAACAGCGCTCAACTACGAATAAGAGGTTTACGGTTCGATCCTTGAAAAAGGATTGTCATCCTTCAAAATTTAACTTGGACTGATATTGGTCTAAGCTTCCAACCGATGATCTTGACTACAGAATCAGATTGCAGTCAGAGATATTAAAATCCTCACACAAAACGCACATATTGTTTTAGTAGGGCTTTAATAAACCTAAGCTGCATTTCTTTTTAACATTTACCATGAATACTAAAGTAGGTTAGGGTAAGATATGTAAATAGTCGTTATTGCATATCCATGTTTATTCAGTCAGCACAGTTCAGTAGGGGTGGTAGGGTGCGGGAGCCGGTGCGTGGTATACAGGGGCATGGTAGGGAGCCTTGGCGTACTCCTGGTGGGTGACTACGTGGTAGACGTTCTGGTAGGAGGTGGCAGGAGCGTGGTGAGCGTAGGGTGCGGGGGCTGGAGCGTAGTGTGCGGGGGCTGGGGCGTAGTGTCCTGGGGCCGGGGCGTAGGCGGCGGCGGCAACAGCCAGGAGGGCAGCGAAGATGATCTGGAAAGAATTTTGTGTGATCAAAACCAAAGTTCAAAACATTTGGCTGGAAAATACAATAAATTGGATAATTTAGTATGTTACTCGATTATTTACTCGAGTGTGCCTTTATCTTCGCCATTGAGATTATTTAAGTTTTTTTTAAGGAATGGTTGAAATTTTGCCCATTAATACTATCTTATGCCGACCTTTTAATACACGAAATGCTTAACTGATAATACAAAAAATGATTGAATCTATATCCAGAATCTATCTCGCTCATTATCGACCCCTAAGCACCCTCTAAGCTATCCTTTACAATGATAACAATTATAATAAATGAACAAAATGAACTGGAGTTTGTGATATATGTTTAATATAGTTTTTCTACAAATATTACTTGAGTTCTTCCTTATGGTTTTCTTTTTAAATTAAATTTAATTAACTATTCTTACTTTATGAAATAATTCATGGCGCCAGGAATAGTTGTATTTTTGATCCGACAACGTAGTCAAATCAAACTTAATCCATATATTAGACATATCGTAGACTAAGAAAAGGAAAACAGACAAAAATATCATTCCTAGGATAAACTCGTTATAGACACGAAGATCAGACAGCAAGCTGTTTTTTAATTATTGGTTAACAATAGCTATCATCGATGGCATCAGATATAGTTTTCCTAAGATTGTGTAATGCACAATAAGATATGGTGGATGGGCCCGGTCCTTGAGTCCGAGCCTTCCCATCTAGGTAATTCTTAAACTATTGTATTTGAAAGAGCATTTACGTTGTATTGTAATGAAACTGTAAGTATAAGTAAGTTTCTGAATTATAAAAACTAGTAATGTCCACTACAGCTTACTAATAAAGGTTAGCTCTGAACGTTAATCGAACCCTAAAATCAATTGCTCTAAACGTTTTTAAAACAAATAATCTCATAATATAAAATACTTAGTTAAATAGTTAAGAAAGTTAAACGCATTTCATCCCGATTCGAGAAAGGAAAGCAGAATAGCATTACCTATTACAGACTCCACCTTTTACCTTTCAATCAGCAACTGCTAGAATCAAACTTGAAGGAGATATAACAGAATCTACTCACGGAGGAGATAATAACATAAACACCAGATGATCGTGAGAAGAATCAGCTGATTCGTTTTGAGTTACAGCTGACGTACTGTTCGCAGGACAGACAAGTCTTTATACGGAGAATACACGTTCTACATCCAAACGCTGCGAGATCTATCGGTCGTAGTTCTTTGTCCTGGTCTAGATATTCCCAGTTATGAAATACAAGTAACAACACTGACTCAAGTTCTCCTATAACATTTCTCTTGCTACGACGTGAAACTAAGTACAGTGTTCTATTGAGATTGATGTTAAACTTGTACTATAACTGTTTCTTTCTTTTCAATTTAATTCTAACTACATTAAAATAAATTTAAGTGTCCCTTTTGATTTAAAAATGCTAATGGTTTTTAAAATATTAAATTTACATCGAAGACTGAGGTACCGATACTCTTAAAATAGAGTTTTGACGTACATTAATTTGCATAACAAAAATTTCTTTCCAAACAAGATTGAGCTCCTTCTTTTAATGTATAACAAACTCACAAATCGAATTATTCTGTCAATATCAAAGAAGTTTTTGGTCAAAACTTTTACAACGCAATATCAATAACATTACAACACTACTGTGCATGGACGTAGTTGATAGATAGATGTTACGGTGTATAACGCATATGTCAACAAAGTCCAATGGATCGCCACTAGTTACTTAGTTGACCATTGTAGTTAGCTGCTGACAGTTAAACGATCGAGTTGACATACTGTTGTAGTTCGTAGTTAGACCTCCTGATGGCTAAAGTAAACTTGTGTTTTGGTGAGCAAGAGGTAGTTGGTAGTTACCTACTTTGACTTTGTTTGTATTTCTCAACACTAATATACAGTAGGATTTACCCTATATTTACTGTTTCATTGTTGATGAGGGTGAGAGCAATGATGTAAGTAATATTTTGTTAAATTGTCGTATGGTCCAGTTCAGTGAGGGTGTACCTCCATTCGTCAGTCACACACACGTTCAATAGTATTTGAATGTCATGAAAATTTTTGGCAGTGTCTACTCAACAAAGAATATGTTCCCTTAACAAAACCAAACAGTAGTGATTTCACCGATCACCTCTACAATGAAGGAGGTTGCCGGGTTCAATCCTATAAACAGATATAAACCGTAATTGAAAAGTTTATCCAGAAGTTATTGAATTAAGTTTTGACTATAGAACCTAAAAACTAAACTCTCTGTCAGTTACAAAAAAATATAATAATCAAATTTTTTCGTTACATATTCCAGCAAGGACTTCATTATCAGTTATTATCAGTTTCTTTAACACTTTCAGTTTCAAAACATTGATTTGTAAAACTATTCGGAAAAGTCCTGCCAAATAAACCGGTGATATAGTTGATTAAGTATCGTTTTTAATGAATCTCTTTACGATGGTCTGTGTTTAAGTGATTCCGAAAACCCATCTGATTCAAGTCAATACTGTCAACACACACTGCAAGAGTGAAGGGCAACCGAGTACGTCGCACAGCTGATTCAATAATGAATGCACTGATCTCTGTATCTCCCAGCGAGACCTTTCAACCTGAAGGTCAAGGAATGGAACGGACTTCGACCTCACATTCACTGATCTATTGTCATCTGGCCAAAGTCACTTGGTTGTATGGCTAAGTAGATTAACTACAATAAGCGCGACTGTTCTATTTAATCATCACACGAAAAAACACACGTTCTATTTAAAAAAAACACACGAACGCATTCGTTTTAAAACATCTTTTAAAATCCACACTTTTTATTAACAAAAATTATCGCTCGATATTTTTTATTTTTGCTAAATATATTAACGGCTTAATTTACACTATAAAATAAAATATTTAAGGTATTTTCACTCGACTGTAGTATACTATTTGACACATAATTTTTGAAATGGTTCATTTATTAATACCATAAAGTTCAAAGGTTAAGAGTGAATATAGTAGTAGATAGTATCGTAGTATGAAGTACAAAATAGCACTGTGAACTGTGAAAGTATGAAATAATGCTATTCGGTAATAGGCCCTAATACTATGGAAATAATCTTATAAACATAACCATTAACATAACATTAAGTTGGACCATATAATTTAAGGTAATACAAACTACAAAGTCGTCATCAGTTTACATTTCTGTTATTTACAAACATAACTTTAAATATCGTGTGACTGGCAGCGTTTTCGAAATGCGCTGATAAAAGTTCGAGGTTAGCGAACAAAAAAATACAATTTTTTTCTGTTCCCTATTCGACGTTACACGAAAACGATGAATTTACTGACGAACTAAACCGGCTGCTTTCCAGTACAGTATGATGCACATTTTTGGGATTTTTGTTCATCTACTGAACTTACTGAACATAACCTTTCCTGTTTCAAACAGCCCATTTTATGTCCTAAACAAACGAATTTTCCATTTAGCTCTACATGGGCCCCATCGTATGTATTATTTTATAACGATAAATAATATTGTTGAAATAATATTGTTGCCTTTTAAATCAATTGTAAAACTATTTTATGAAAACTTAAACAGAATTACTAGACTAAAAAATATTATTTGTTAATTTAAAACCAACAAGCGTTTTGTGTTTATTTGCATCGTGATGAAAAATATCGTTTACGTTGTTCTATTCCGTGGCACGCTAGTCGTATCCCGCGATCGGCTTTGCCTCGCTCATGAACCTTCGAAATGGATCTTTTCCGGGACTAGTTGTGAATATACTACTTACTAATAACAAAACATCAATAGTAAATTATTGACTTGTAAGATTATGGTTGCTAGGTGACGATAAACATGCAGATACTGCAATGACGACTAATTGAAAGCTATTCAATATAAATTAATTATTATCACGTGTGCACTTATACCTATGAATACTAAATATACTAAATGAACTGACAGCTCATTCACAGGGGCATTGGTTCTCATCTCCAGTCCGGCCTATAGTACACCGTTCATCAATTTACTTTCCGTCTAACATCCTAGTGACCTCAATTAGTGTTTTGCATCGACAACCGAAAGTGAGAATCCTTTTTCAGGCCGATACCGAATGGAGCGCACGTTTAAAGTTCGAGAGATAACCCAGTACTCTTAACTTTACAACCATGGTTGTTGCTAGGTTACGATATTAATGATCTTAAATGAAGCTACCATTTCATCTATGTTTTAAACCTTATGATATATTATTTAGCTAAGTAAAATAAAAATAAAGGAACTAATAAACTATTTTGCAATACAAATTGAAAGTTGCTTCACCGCATAATGCTTCATGTATAACGGAAATGTTGTGCCGAGGATCTAGCGGGCATAGAGTGATAGGGCAAAACCCTATACCCGTTCATCAAATGTGTATATAATACAGCTAAAAATATTCCGAAATGGTGATTAGTATATTTAGAACAAGATTATTTAAATTAAGTTTTGCAGGCAATTCTTGTGTAAATATTGTTCCGATTTCGAGACTTAGTTGAACCAAAAAAGGTCGAGCATTTGCATAAGGTATTACCATATTAGAATACATTATTTTCCATACAACTTTGGAATTGCATTACGTAATTTTCTGAGAGATGAAATTCTGTATCTGTTAACCATAACTAACAGTAGTACATTCGGTATTGTATTATGAGATAATGGTTGCTGGGCAGCGAAACAATTCAATTCAATTCAATTCAATTATTTAAGATGGGGACGCCACTATGTGCGTATTTTAACCCAAATATGAGTGAAGGATGAGTGTAGGATGAGTGGCGCGATCTTGTAGTCTTGTTAGTGACTAAGGCCGACATGTTCCTTAGACACAGCTGTTAATTAATAGCCCATACAGCTAATGGCAACTAAGGGACCTACAGTTTATAGTGGAATCCGAACCACATTTTTCCTTGTAATTTACGAATTGGTCTAATTATCAGGATAATACTGCGGATAGTCGTAGTACTCACTAGTGCGGACGTTAATCCACACCAGGGAGCATCGCATCCACAGTGCATCCCTATAAATATATCAATACAGATCAAACCAACTCATATGGTGATACTTACTTATGGTTACTTTACTCGTATCATGTACGTTGAAGGTACTACAAATCTGATAAGCCCCTTGAATATGGGTATCCTTTTAAAAGTTTGTTTATTAAATAAATGTTGAGCTTATAGAGTAACTGAAGTAGTATTTTTAGCCTATGAACGGAAATAGTGATCGACTTGTTTGCGAACCTGTAAGTTACATACTGTTCAAAAACGTGTGTATGGAACATACCATTGAAGGCAACCCAGACTCTTTCCCTACACTGTTTGTTGTACACTCACTAAATTAGTGTATCGTTGCATAGAATAATTTTCAAAACTCCTAACTTTTAGGGTTATAAAACCTACAAAAACAAGCTCAATCTTCTCGCTTATTTTTCTCCCTCCTCCTTACACCTGTGTACTCACCAGCTTGCACATGTTGAGGTGTTGAAGTTCCAGAGGTCCTGTGTTGTATCCTGTGTCCCCAGTGGCTTATATCTGGAGAGATGGCGGTCAAGGAACAACCTGTAAATTCCCTTCTCGTGACTGTCCACTCACCGTCACCCTGCCGAGCCCTACTGAATAGGTGAGGCCAGGGCTCTAATGGCCAGAAACTAGTGGAGCATTGTTAACGCAGTTTTGAGCGTTTTTCTTCGTTTTTAAATTTATTTACGTTTGAACATATTGATAAAACGTTCGCCATCTTGGTTTTAACATTGGCTTTAAACACCACAGTAGACATCCCATCTGGCACCCTCCAGTAGATATAGTTAAACGAGCCAATGAGTGATATAACCTACAGTAAAATAATGTTTCTCGTTCTTTTATGGTACTATTGCATTAAGTGACAAAAATATGCAATAAAATGCAATGCATTAAGAAGAAATAGAATTGTTCCCCCCCAATTATTGTGAGAACTTTTCGCAATGCACTTTCGGCACTTTTTAAGGCATCTCTGTCTTTTTGGTACGACCCCATCTCGAATATGCCTCGTGAATATTGTTTACTTACCAGATAAATTACTGCGAGCTTCTTATTCAAATCAAATCATTTATTGCCGTGAGAAACATACAAGACATAAGTAAAAGGATAGAGCCTTGAGAGTTATCTTGAGTTTCATATTAAATAGATGTCCCGGTGATGGAGCTTAGTGAGTTTCTTGATCTGCCCTGGCGTCGAGGAGGACATATCTGGACCTCATGTTTTATTGGCTCTTCTTAATGGCTAACTGGTTGTTTAGCGTCTATAAAATGGCCTATTGGCAGTTCTAGGGATATCCTGGTGGATTTTTCAGTTGCAAGTTACACTCAAGATCTTAAGAGCTGTTTGGGTAACTTCTCCTCTACAACGTGTTCGCCACCATATTGTCGTCCCTCGCTTTCTGAGATGTGGGAATGACGTTTCACCTCAGGTCGGTTTCTTCGGATAAAAAAAACAATTCCATCCCCCCCCCAAAAAAAAAATCTTGTCACTAAGATTTTTTATTTTGTATGGTTACCTTATTTATCAATGATTCCTGCCACCTGCCACTAAAATTTTCAGCTTGTTTTCACGTTTTGATATTGGATAATGATTATAATATTGTCATTCTTGGTTTTTATTTATGACTACATGAGGTGCCTTTTAGATTGAGCCTCTTTATTGTTGGTGTTATTTAAGTGTCACATTGTTAGACATTCATGAAAATATTGGCTTATTTGAACCCTGTTGTGTATTTCTTATTTTACCTTGTAATTAGCTGAATTCACACCATGTCAATTTTACCGGGTCTGTTACGCCTTAACCTAGGGATAGAATATCTATATATAGTACGCATACTATAGTCTTCAGTACGAAGAGTGTATTTGTGTAAAGTTTCACGTAAATTAGTCTAGTAATTACTAGCTGTAATTACTAGTTATTAGTTATTAGTACTTACAGTTACAGTTATTAGTAATTGCTAATTAATGGTAATTACTAGTGTGATGGCTTGCTTGACCAAAACCTTATTGGTATCATAGTGAAAACATTTGGAATAAAGGCAAACTTTAAGACGAGGCCTTGACCACATGAATGCTTCTTATGTTAATATACTACTACATTTCTAATGCTACATTTTAAGTTCCTAAATCCTGTCAAACCATCAAAGTTTCAATCCTTCAAACAATAATATTAGAAATACCACTAATAAACTTTAAAGTGTTTGATCATCTCACCCACTCATATGCTTTAAATTACGCTACAAAGTCTTTCAGAACTAAGCTAAGCATTCACTTTGATAGTTTTAATTGTTCAATCTACAAAATTTAATAACTATCCCTAACTTTTATTTAACTGCCAATAACCAAATATTTCTATAGTATTGTTATGTTTATGTTATGTAACATCTAATTACACCTACTCAACCAATTGCCCCACTAATTGCCGATCAAATGCACTATCTAAATACATCCAAGATGTCTATAAACAGGCAGGTGAAGGCCGAGGAATCTCCATACAAACTGCATGCATTGTTTGAAAAGGCTTCACCAAGGTGGACCTTCTACGTGGCAACTCAGTGTTCAACTGTCAATGTTATTTGATTTTCCATATTTTGTCTGATCGACCTTTTTCCATTTCTTTCCAATTACACATTATTTGTTAGTATTCGTCAGTTAATTCCTGAACTTGTGTATTATATAGTTTAACTAGCTGCTGTAACTGTGCCTCGCAACGGGGAGAGGAGGCAAGAGAATTTTTTTTTTCTTAAATATGTTTAATAAAATAACTACTCATCCTCCAGTGGTTTTAGAAACAAATGTGATATGTAGCTTATCTGTTAAATTTGTTAAAAATTACATTTGTTGTTTGTATTATAAAGTTTGTTATAGTACAAAATAGGTCGATAGTTGTAATGTTTATTTTGTAAAAAATCACCTACTAATTTTTCTTAGTGCTCAGAAAGAAAGAAAACAAGATGAATTCTTCAATATTTAAAATAATATTAGGGCTCTATTCCGCTAGTTAACAGTTTTGAGAATATAAATTAATCAAAATTAATATTTCCCACAACATTATTGGAATATTACAATCATGATTAATCTGATAATTACTGCTTTTGCCACAAAGGAATAAACTCAACATTCAGACTTCATTTTAGAATTTGATGTAAAATCATTAAATGTAATGATTATAATACAGTATTTATAAAGTAACCATAACTTAAACGTTCGAAGTCAAACAGCCACTTTAAATATACAAAATAAACATGCCCTCCTATAAAATAAACTATTTTACATTTTGCCCTAACAAGAATGTTAAATATCAAGTAGTGCATATAAATGCAACCTCATTCAAAACCCAGTGTGGAATTTATTTTGCATTTGCTTTGCTTACGTTGCAGCGAGGAGATTCTAAACTAGATTGTAGAACAAAGAAGAGTTCAAATGATGCAACTGCGATCTCCGATCACATATCTACTCCAGATCTCTTGCGTAACTTGCGCTGGAAGATATCTCGACCAACTCACACGCAAACGATGTCGACGATATGTAGTCCTCATTGCTGTGTTTTGTCGGATGTAACAGTATCCGATCAACAATTTCATACTTAATTATAGTAGGGTGTCTCAATACATTGGTGTTTGACGGTTGTATGAGAAATAGACACTGTCTTAATTAAGTGCGGTTATTAGGTAGCCCATGCAATGATAAATTAATTTTGACAACATTGCATTCATTATTATCTAACTACTATGTCTAAATCTACAGGTTTAGACAAAAGTCTGGAACCCCCCCCCCCCCAGTTAACTTTTTAACGCGTTGCAGTAGGAAAACAAAACTCGGCACATATTTACAGCATAAGAAATTGCACTTTTTCATCAAAGTTACAACTTTGCCCCAGCCCCCAAAATAATTTTCTGGGTATTTTGGGGCAGCTCAAAATTTTCAAATGCAAACACCCATCATGTGACCCCTCATTAGGGTTTCTTAAGACAACTTAAATGGCGCAAACTAGAGGTCAATTCGCACCCCTAATCAAAATGGCAGTCATTTTTAAATATCCCCCATTATCTTTTTAACAGGTTATAGCAGGAAAACTAATCTCAGCATACATTTATAAAAAGAGGCAATTCACCTTTTGGTCAGTATTAAAATATTAAATTTTTAAAGTTAACTGGGGGTCTCCAGACTTTATCTTACTTGCTTATCTTAAATAATTAAAATGGCTGCCATTTTGATTAGGGACGCGATATTGACCTCTAGTTTGCGCCATTCAATTTAAATGAGGGGTCACATGATAGGTGTTTACGTTTGAAAATTTAGGGCTGCCCCCAAAATAACCAATTTTTGGGGTTGGGGCAAAGTTGTAGCTTTGATCAAAAAGTGCAATTTCTAATGTTGTAAATATGTGCCAAGTTTGGTTTTCCTACTGCAACGCGTTAAAATGTTAACGTGGTTCCAGTTTTTTACTTAACCCTGTATGTTTATAAGGATTGTTGACATTGTTGAGTGGTCATTATTAATTAATTTTAATTTTGATTGTGTCACTAAAGAATTTCATAACACCTCAGTTAGCGCATGGTTTTATTACCTTTTAAAATTTCCTAGCACGCTAGGGTCCACCCCGGAACAGTTTTACTCAATACTTCAGGCTAACCTAGCGGGTCGCAGCATTATCAAAGCTTAAAATCATTGGTGATTGTTAGGATGTGAACCTAGGACCTCGGGACCTAAATCCCTGCATTCTAACTCTAGTCCAGCTCGCTTCTCGAAAGAAATAAAACCAACATTATATTGACAACAAAATATGTGAGCACTTGACAAAAGTACAGTTCATTATTTACATGATTTTCGAAAACCTATTTCATCGTTACATAAAAGCACCAACCTTACTCTACACCAAAAAAAAATTCACAATATTCAATTTTATAAATAAAAAATCGCAATCATACGATAATTTCATATACACATATCCTAAGTGCTTTTTCTTGTTGGTCCATCTGTTCATATAAATATTCTGGGTAGCAAAATGGTTATAGACTTCACCTTCAAATCTGAAGGTCACTTGTTCGATTCCAAGAAAAATCTATCATGGACTTAATTTTATCAACGATATGTTTATGTTTGGTTTGCATTTAGTAAATACTAGTTCTTCAACAGGACATTGATGTCCAACATCAAGTCAAAGTACATATAATTGGTCAAAAGGCCCTTAAGCAGTTCTATTTGCGTTACATACAACGCCTTGACTTGTTATCAACAGTTATTTGAACGATTATTAAAATAGAAATTTGAGTAAGTTCTCACAAATGTTCAACTAAGATAGTAAATAAATTTAAATTATTAATTTTAAAATCTATAAAAACTAAAAGGAACAACTATTTTAAATTGCTTGGTTTTCTAATTTGCAGAAATCACTCATTACAAATTGGTTACCTATACGTATAGTCAATGGTATATCTTACCAATTCACAACCGACTTTATTTAGTGTTGTTTCAAATCAAATAGCAT